GCAACAGCTACTCACTCTAAAGTCAAGGAAGATGACTACCTGTGTGAATCTGAAGGAATGTATTGCTCATTCATGTAAAGCTTAATTAGGAAGGAGAATTTAACTCTGGATTTTTAATAAGCATGCATGACTGGCAAATTAATGCAAAATGACTTCCTGACACTTGCCATTAAAAGATTCAACTCATCTGTAAAGTTCCCAGAACTTAATTGCAAACTTTTACCCATCAGGAATCTGTTCCCAGCCTCTTGCTCAGTTCAGCTCGTCCACCTGCCTTCCTTCTCCTCGGATCTTCACAAGATTTATATTCATGATCTTCATTTTCAAATCCCTCCAAGACTGACCCTCACCCTCCATCCATATAATTTCCCCTAACCACAAAGCCTTCCAAGATCTCTGAGTTTTTCCCAATTCTCCTGAAAATCTTGTTTAAGCTGAACACAACCTACGATGTGGAATACCTTCCTTGCTCCTCTTGATATTGTTTTCTTCCTTTAAGACACTTCTTGAGACCTACTCCTTTGACCATGTTTCTGGCCATTTTCCCTAATATCTCCTTTTAAGACCTGGTGTTGATATTTGTTTTATAATGTTTCTCAAACATTTTGGGACATTTTATGTTAAAGGTGCTAATCAAATATAACTTGCTATTAAAAATAATTTCTACTTGTTAAAAATCACTCATTCTTAATACTCTGAGTAAACAGACAACCAGCATTTTTATGTATAACCATGCATATTACCATGATTAATGCAGTGCATTCTTATCTTGATATTACCACATTTAAAATTGATTGGAAACAGTTTAACTTGGAATCTTAATACTTCCCACAAGTTCACATGACAGCTTGTAGAATGAAATGCATGTGAAGTTTCAGATGGAAGTATTCAAAATGACCATATCTAAAATCTGGGCAAAATTGGTTGTTTTGCTGAGATATTTGATCAAATCTATTGGCCATTTTTTTCCCAGCTGTACAAGTTTTCTCGTCTTGATGAAACTTGGAATGTTGCTTTATCAATGATAAAAAAAACTCATGGAATCATTATAATATATCCTAAGCTTATAAATTAGTAATCTTAATGTTCTATCAGTCTCCAGGTACTTGTTTGGTGAGACAGAAATTAATTATCCTCATTAAACTTCAACATAAGTAGTTTGACGTTATTGCTTTGGGTTGCCTGGACAGCACGGAAAATAACAACAAGGTAAAATGGCTTGATGTCTGTTAAACAGCACAGAATGGTCAGAGCCATAGTCTTTCTTGGGTTTGAGATCAAACATTGGTTCTCATAAATGAGTAATGTGGTATATGAATTTTAGTATCAGTGTGATACCAGGTGTGATGTTGGCCATACGACCCAAAGACTGGAAGATTGTAACAAACAGCGTGTTCTTTTGGCCGTTTGCAATAAATAAGGTACTGACCATAGCCAAGCAATCAATACTTACAAAAAACTCACAATACACTGTCCAATTCCAGATTGACATTTGGGCCCACAACGTAATACACATGCATGTAATGCAAGTCACATACATCAACACACAAGGCCTTGCTCTTCACTGAAGAAAGAACATGTATATGGACTTCAACATTTTCAACTCAAAAAAGAAGGGCATTGCTCAAACCAAAGACAGTTATCCTGCCTGGTTTGAAATTTAAACAAAGGCTAGCAGTTACTGTCAATCACCACTAATGGATTCTTTCTCAATGGCAATGCCTATATCAATCAGAGTCGACTTGCAAACAAACATTCCCCTCTCATGCCATACAAATGTTAGTTTTCCCCTTGAATTTGTATTCTTTTAAAGTGTCTTGATGAGCACGTCAAAAAGCTTTAACAAAAATTGTGCACTACCAAATAACTAAGTGTAGATCCATACTTGTTTCTGTATGACCCAGCTTGGTGATCCAGTTGCAATATCAGTGTTCAAAGGAATAAGTAAATTCTCAAAGCAGTCAGCCATATGTCCTTCATGAAATGACTGGCTTGCTCAGCAACTGGTCTGGAGCTGTGACAACAGCTCTGTGGTTCTTGAATCTGATGTACATTATCAGGATGACAGGAAATCATGTTGTCACCCCTGCCACTCCACCAGTGTTTTTTGTGTTGCTATTCAACCATCCAACGCAAATAGTGGTCATCCATGACAAGGCAGTACAGTCCAAAGTTGGGCCTTGAATGCCCACAGCTACTCAAAGACCTCACACAAGGCAACCTCATTCACTGAAAATCAGCAGTCTTGTGTGAGTTATGGTGCAGCTGCTGGAATAGCACTGTGTAGGAGCACTAGGCAGCTGTGAAATAGGCAACAAAGAGATTGCACAAGTTCAGTTTTCTTAAGTGTTATGGAAAGTGTTGTTAGTTATATTTATTACGGTGGTATTTTTTTATTTCAGGATTTCAGCAACGAGTAAGCTGCAATGGTCCATTGTAGAGGCAAAGAAAAGATGGGAACTGTGCAGCAATAGTGATGTGGAGCTGGGATTTCAGAAGAACCAAAGTCTAAGCAACAATTCAAAGACAACTAATCCAAAGAGAACGGGTCTTGCATGAAACATGAAACAAGGAATGATTGGGGAATATCGTGTTTCGTAAAGACAAAAGTCAGGAATTTAGTTCAAGTGGGAATTTGATGCAGTGTAGGATGGAGGTCTGTTTCCTTTTATTTGTGCTCCAATTTCCCTTTCTAAGATAGGAGACTTCACTTGTTATAGCTTAGCTATACTAAATTAGTAACTCATTTGCTAATCAAAAAAATAAGATCAGGCAGATGGGGCTGTGCTATAAGTGCAGTATGAGGATTGTGAAGAACACTGAGATCCTGGATAACCACACCCATGATAGGCATCTGCTGTTCAGGTACGTTCAGCTCAGAGTTCTTACAAAACAATTAGTTCACTAATCCTGGTAAAAGAGAAAAAATTGATGCTGTCTCATCATCTGCACATTGCCTCTGAAACCTAAATGACACACCTAAATGATGCATGACAAATTGTGATTTATTTTAAACATGTTATCTAGCATCAACAGGAAGGGTCTGCTGATGTTGAGGGCCATGCTGATCTTTGTTGTGACCAAGAGCCCTATCTTGGTCATTCTGTGCAGCTTGATGAAGTGTAGATAATGCATATGGTTTCTCTATGTTGTGCCCTGGCGTGACAGTTGAAAATCAATGCTCAATGATATCACAATGGGCATGTAGAAGGCCCTAAGAACTACCTCATTTGGTATGAGGATCGAACCTGGGCTGGGGGCATTGGTCAGCTATACCTCTAATCAACTGAGCTAACAAGTCTTGTAGCCAACTCAGAAATTGCATCTGACTGATGTGAGTATAGGAGAAAAGTTCTCTGAAACTACTTGATGTGTCGAATCTTCCATTGAGAACCATCCTCAGCTTCCATTTGCAAATTGCTTTCACTCCGTGCTACACCAACTTCATCTACATGGCATTCTGCAACCCAAGAAAAATTGGGACCAAAGTCTTCCATTAATGCAACCAGACTTTCTTCTAACAAACATTTCAAACTTTTCTAATCTCCTTATCCAAGTCTAGTATCAATCCTTGATGAACTCAAAAATCTTTTTCCAAATTTACCCAGTAACACTTAAACACTATAAATGCAGCAGCAAAAGAAAGAGACGTGTAGCTCAGGTGGAACATCTTTTAGTCATTCTGGGGGAACAGGGATGAACCCATGAAGCTGAATACATATTAGCACTGCTGCCTCACGCACCAGAGACCAGGGTTCATACTAAATTGCCCATAGTGTCCAAGGATGTGCGGGGTAGAGGGATTAGCCATGGGAAATGCAGCGTTATAGGGATAGGATAGGAATGTGGGTCTAGGTGGGATGCTCTTGAGAAGGCTAGTGTGGCCAGCTCCCACACTGCAAGGATTCCATGCATCTGAGTGATGAAAAAAATACCACTAAAAAAACTAGGATATCCAAACGGCAAATTGTGCATCAAATTTTCGGCAAACATAATCCACCCACTTTTCGTACTTATCATGAATGCACATAAGCTTTTTTTTTTTAGTTTCGGTGCCTGTAATGCCAATACCACAGAACCAAAGACTGCAGCCTGTCTACAATGAATAACACAATGACTAAAACAACAATATTTCACTTCCAAAATAGGTTGTAAAACAAGATGATTGTTGGTCCAGGAAACTCTTTGAAATTATACTTGACTGAAAACATGTAGCTGCTCTCAATTAAGGAAGTGCTACTCGCGATATGTGTTTAAAGTATTAGGAAATGTCAGTTTTGATATAGCTTCAGCTAATCAAATTCTACAACCTGGTGAGAGAGAGGAGTGAATCTGGTTTACAACAATACCGTAAAATAGCTTCCTAGCAAATTGGCCACTTGTTTTAGACTGTGTCAGATTGCTTTGTTTCAATGGTTGCACTTCGCCTCAGAATCAAAAGATCATGGGCTCATGTACCACTCTACATATCTGGGCACAATAAACAGATTGACAATCCAACGCAGTTCTCAGCATACTGCCTTGCAGTTGAGTTTTAATCAATGGCCTTATCTGCCCTTCTATATGAAATCCCATGGCAGAACTGAATAAAGTAATACCTTCCCGACGTACTAGTCAATGTGTATACCTAAACCAGCCTCAGCAGAGCAAATGATCTGGTCATGAACCACTGATGTCTGTTTATCCTCGGTGCACAAACTAGGTACTTAAGGTCATGAAAGATTCCATGAAAAGTTAGCAGCTTATTTTTTTCCTGTAACTTTCCCATTGACTCAGTGCAATTTTCAAGGCCTGGTAAACACTTGTCACACTTAAAAACATTTGTAACAAAATATGACAAGTAAATATTGCAGTAATCTAATAATATAAAGTAGTTTTATAATATTACACCAAAGAAACATCTATAATTACATTAATATAATTACTAATATCTAATGGAAAAAATGGCTTGAATTATACAGACATTAGATATACAAGACATCATCATTTTAACAACCTACCAGGAGAAACTGAGAAAATTCTTTGTAGTTAAGATGATGTTTCCTATCCTTTCCAAAGTGCAGATCCACAAATTCAGAATTCCAGTTAAATGGGATGCGCTGGTGAATACTGGTTTGGCTAAATATTTGCTTGATGTGATCTATATGTCATGATGAAATATATATATTAATTTATAATTCTAAGAAAAAAAGCAGGCCACTCTCATTGAAAACAGAACAATCGTTTCTATTATCCTCCTAAAGCCTGTGTTAATATGAAACTGAATTCAGATAACTTAAGGTCAACCATCTGTCAGATTAAATGCCCTCTTCTGCAATATTCAAATACCATGACTTAGTCCAAATGCTTGTGGTGATTAACCTATCAAATTTGTAGCTTTGTAATAACTGCCATGAAATTTTACTCCAGAAAAAGTACGCCAGTCAATTCTCATTCTGACATCAACAACATTTGGAAGTTGCTGGAGACACCGTACATATGTTTCAGTATAACCATACTTGGAAAAATAATCCAGATTTGTGTAACATACATTATTGACAGAAGGCAACCTTTCCAACATCACAGAAGCACAGATTCTTTTTGAAGCTCTTAAAATTATGGTACTGAGGATTTTTTTCAGGGTGTGATTAATACTATGGCTTTACTTCTCTTCCAACTATATGAAGCTAAAACAATTACATGACGAGCAGCATTATTTGAACATAATTTTCTAATGTACTTAACTTTTACCTTCACACATACTCGATGTTTATGCATAAACACAAACGTTCAAAATTTCAATATATTATGAGCCTCGAAATTCAATAGTATCCCACAACTGTTTTCAGGAACTAAATGGGCATCAAAGCTTTTTACTGAACATACAACAAAGCAATAGTGCCAATCACTGTACACCTCCTCCTTTCTTTGACTGATGCCCACCCATGTCCCAATTGTCCTCCATATCTGTGTTCCAATTGTTCCATTGCAATCAAAGCACACTCTACAACAGTGCCATTTCCTTTTTGTGAGTAAACTGGCAAATAATATTAAAACAGACAGTATAAAAGTTTCTTTTAATATATAAAAAGAAAATAAGAGGGCAAAATTAACATTGGCCCCTTAGAGAACATGGCTTGGGAAATAATACTGGGAAAGCAGGAAATAGCAAAAAAGTTAAATACACTTTGCATCACACAGTAGAAGATATTAATAGTATTCCAAAAATACTAAATAATCAAGGACTAAAAGGGAGTGAAGAAATAAACACTCTCACTATTACTAGAGAAAACGTATTAGGCAAACTAGTGCAGCTAAAGACCGCTAAGTCCCCTGAACCTGATGGGTTCCATCCCAGGATACAAAACGAAGTAGCTGGTGGTAGTGGATGCACTGGTAGTAATCTTCCAAGAATCTGTAGATCCTGGAAAACTCTGAGGACTGGAAAATTATCAGCGCAACAGCTTTGAATGGGGAAAATACAGCAAGGTTCAGAAATGGTTCATTTACAAGCTGCTAGGACTGGTTAAGACAAGTATGTTATCACCATCTGGCTGGCACAAAATGGGTTGAGAGATACCTCAAGAATGTAGCTAGTACCTTTTATGGAGTAAAAGATTATGCCAGGCAATTCCTAAGATTGGCCAATGATCATGCATTTAGTGACGAACAGGATGTGCAGGGTCTCAAGTGGATGGCTGACAAAGCAGGACCTCAAATTTGAAATATGCAAGATGTGTCAGATCATTATGCATCACTACATGTGGCCATAAGATGTGGGAGCAGAAGTAAGCCGTTTAGCCTATTGATTCTGTTCTGACATTCAATGAGATCATGACTAATCTAGTAATCCTCAACTCCACATTCATGTCTTTTCTTCGTAAGTCTTGATTTACATGCTGATGAAAAAACTATATCTCAGCCTTGAATGTACTAACAACCCTCTGCAGTAAAGAATCCTACAGATTTACTACCCACTAAAAAAAATCCCTTTTCACCTCTGTCCTAACTGGGTAATCTCAAATGTTTGAGATTATGCCATCTGATCCTAGACTTTCCGACAAAGGGAGACTCCTCTGAATCTGCCTTGTGAAGCCCCCTAAGATCCTTGTATGTTTCAGGAAGGTTGCCTCTCATTCTTATTCCAACGAGTACAGGACCAACATACTCAACCTCATGTAGGAAAATCCCTCCATACCCAGGATCAACCCAGTGAACTTTATCAGGACTGCCTGCACTGGCATTATATCCTTCCTTAGGTAAGAGGACCAAAACTGTTCTCTGTATTCCAGACGTGGTTTGACTAATACCTTGTATAGTTTTAGCAACACCTCTCTATGTTAATATTCCATTCCCTTCATTGCCTTCCCTATTACATGCTGAACTTGGATGCTGGCTTTTTGTGATTTGTGCATGAAAACCCCTGTGCTACGGCTTTCTGCAGTCTTTCTTGATTTAGATAATATTCAACACCTCTATGTTTCCTGCCAAAGTGCATAACCTCACATGTTCTCACATTATTTTCCATTTGCCAAGTTTTTGCCCACTCGCCTAACCTATCTATCTCCCCTTATAGACTCCGTCATCTTCATCACTTGCCTTCCTGCCTATTTTTGTGTCACCCACAAAATTGGCAATAGTGCATTCTCTTCTGTCATCCAAGTCATTAATGCACATTGTAAATAATTGTGGCTGAATGCACTGATCCTGTGGTTCTATCCAGGTTATAGATTGTGATCCTGAAAATGACCCCCTTCTCTTCACTCCCTGTCTACTACAGGTTAGCCAGTTCTCCAACTATATTAATATATTATTCACAACAACATGGGTTCTTGCCTTATTGAGTAGTCTAACGTGTAATGTCCCATCTAATGCCTGTTGGAAATCCATATATATTACATCTACTGGTTCCCCTTTATGTATGCTGCTTGTTAACTTTTCAAGGATTTCTAATAAATTTGTCAAGCATAGTTTCTCTCGCCTGAAACATCAGCCTTCTTGCTCCTCTGATGCTGCTTGGTCTGCTGTGTTCATCCAGGTCTACACCTTGTTATCTCCAGTTGGCAATGTGATCAGCATTATCAGTTAAGATAATAATGAAGTATAAAACCAGAGTTTGTAAGTGGATCAGGGAGATCATGTCCCACCCTGAATGACATACGTTCCCTCCTGCATATGCCTGAATATAACTGGTAAAACTGAACGGAGTTTCAAGTGGTCTGTCAGAGAATCACAGGGTGTTCAAACCCAGGTCAATCTCCCCCTTCACCACTATTTAAGAAGGTAAAGAGACAATAACAGACATCTGTTACTGGGAAAATGTCAGAGTCTATTATAGAAGATTTAATCACAGAGGGTTTAGAAACACATAATACAAATAAGCAGAGTCAAAATGGCTTTATGAAGGAGAGAAACTATGCTTGACAAATTTATTAGAAATCCTTGAAAAGTTAACAAGCAGCATACATAAAGGGGAACCAGTAGATGTAATATATATGGATTTCCAACAGGCATTAGATGGGACATTACACGTGCACTGATGGTGGAGGAAGTGAATGTTTCAGCTGGTGGTGGCTGAGACGCTTTACAAGTGCCTTTTGACCTCGATATTACGAATTTCTTAATGGCTTTTAAGCTGAATCCAGACATCCACAATCCCAATGTGTACCTTATAGCTTATGGATAGACTTGAGGGAGACAGCTGAAATGCAGCAGAATTCACAGCCTTTGAGCTATTCTTGTAGCCACAGTTTTCAGTGCTCAGTTTCTGATCAATGGCAAGCTTCCAGGATGTTCGTAGGAAATAGGAGTAGACTATCATTCAGCTTCAGCATTCAAATTGATTACCTATCTCAAGCGATTTTTCTCCATTCTTCCCATATCTTTGATATCAAGGGCATCCAGAAATTTATTGATTTCTGCCTTGAACATGTTCAATGCTTCCACCGCCCTTTGGAGAATCCTCAGATTACCCATCCTCTTAACTGAAGAATCCCTTTATTCTGAGTGTGTCCCTAGTTCTAGACTCACCGGTCAGGGGAAGCATTCCATCAACATCTGCCTTGGCAATTTGATGATTGTAAGCTGCAGCAATGATAATGCTTTTGATTGTCCAGGGAGATAATTTGCATTTTGTCTTATATAATAAGAATATCAATTGTTGGAGGAACTCAGCATGCCTGACAGAGTCTGCAGACAAAGAGACAGAGTTAACATGTTCAAAGCCTGTTTCAAAGATGAGTTCAGCAGGTTTGGCAGCATCTGTGAAGAGAATTCAGAGTTAACGTTTCAGGTCCGGTGACCCTTCCTCAGACCTGAGCTTTTCCAGCAACTTCGATTTTTGTTTCTGATTTAGAGCATCCACAGTTCCTTTGGTTTTCATAGATGAGTCATTGGGCTCAAAATGTTAACTCTCTGTCTCTCACTCCACAGATGTTGCCAGATCTGATGGGTTTCTCCAGCACTTTGTTTTTATTTCAGATCTACAGTATCCATACTATTTTGCTTATATTTGAGGATTTTCTCTTCTTGGAGATGGTCATTGCCTGGTACATAAATGGCAAATAACATCAACACCACCTATCAACCAAATTCAGAATGCTCTCTAGGTCTTTCTACATGCATGTAGGCAAAGACTGCTTCAGTATGAGAAGTTACAAATAGAAGTGAACACTGAAATCATCAGCAAATATTCTGAGGATAAATATTTGCTTGCTATATGATCTGCTAACCTAGAAACCTGCTTGTTTTTCACAAGGGATAGTGTCTACTTCTGCTTTTAATCTGTAAAGCAGAATTATGCTGAGGCTTGCCAGATACTGACAGCAGTATTACACCCCTCCAGTGGATGCAGTCACTGAGATTTCCCTTATTTGGCAGCTTGATGATTATTCCTCACCTCCAGTCATCCAGGACGTCTTCCACAATCCAGATGTTGGCGAACAGGTCTGTGAACTTTGTTAAGACAGTGTTCTTGCCACGTTCAACAGCTCTGCAAGTATTTCATTGATCCCAGATGTCTTGTTCTTGAGCCTCTTGAAGGCTCTTTGGAGTGGTACTATCTGAAGTGGTGATTTTTCCTAGGTTGATGTTCAGCTGCTGAAAAGGTGGAGATGTCATCAAACTGAAACATCGAGCTGAGGTTGGGCTGCTTGAGGATCT